CTCCATCAAACAGCTTACTCCATTCGGCTCTGTCCATAGCATATATTTTCTAGTGGTGTACACCTAAAGCCTTTAGGTCTGCCTTGACATCATCCAGCCATCGAAGTCAAGGTTTCCACCACTCTCGTCCACTACCTGGCTTACTGTAGGGCAGTTTTTTAGGGATTCTATCGGAGTCTATTCTCTCTATATGTCCCAACTACCTTAATCAGCCCAGCTGGATATAAGAGACGATGTCTCCATCTGTTTTTTTTTTTTTTTTTTTTTTTTTTTTTTTTTTTTTTTTTTTTTTTTTGTGTTAAGTGGAAGACACAAATCCTGCATTTCCTCATTTGTTTTAATTCATCAGGAATCTCCCGCTTTCACTACACCAAATATTCGATGAAGAACTATTCTTTCCCAGACTTTCAAAACTCTTTTATTTTCTGCTGTTAAGGTCCATGATTCGCTCACATAGGTGGCAGTCAGCCTTGCTATTATCTTACAGATCTAGAGCTTTGCCTTTATTGAGAGGTTCTTGAACTTAAGGGCCTTCTGCAAACCCCATAGGCAGCAGTTTCCAGCAACGATTCTGGCTTTTATATCAGCTTCGGCCAAATTATTTGTGATTATCAAGCGACAGAGATAAATGAATTCTGGAAAACATTGTATTTTGTATTCATTCAGTTGAATTGTCTGCTCTTCACCATATCTTTTTGTTTGCATATACATTGTCTTCTGGACATTAATCTCAAGCACGGGTTCCCCTGCAGCTCCCAAGAACTCTTCCTGTGCACCTGATAAAGCTTGTAGTGTTCTTGCTGAGATTACCACATCATCCGCAAAAGTCGGATGTTTTGTCAGGTTGAAAATGGTACCACCTGCATTTGTTCTTATTTTACGAATGGCGGATCCTAATACAAAATTAAAGGCCAAAACTGACAGTGGGTCACCTTGTCATAATTCTTTTCCTACCTTAAAACCTTTAAAGCATCTTCCTCTGATCTTGACCTTACAAGATTCTTTACAGTCATGTGGATAAGCCTAATAAGTTTTTTGGGAATCCCTAAAGAATGCAGGCATTTTTACATATTCTTCTGTCAATAGTATCATAGGCCTGTTTCAAATCGATAAATACATGGAGGAGAGTTATATAGCATTTCCATGTCAATTTCAACCTTTTCAAAATCAAATTCAACCTTTTCCAAGTCAAATTAAACCTTTTCCATTTCAAATTCAACCTTTCAACAACTTTCGAATTTTTGTAAATTTTCGTTTTTTTTCGAAATAAAGGCCACTTACTATATTATCGAAGGCATAGCTTTTGAAAAATACAAAAAAAATTTTGATAATGCGGTTGCATATCCATTTATTTTAACATTTTAGATTTTTTCAGTGTGATATTTCTATGTCATATTCAATTATTTCCAAGTCAAATTCAACCTTTTCCAAGTCAAATTCAACCTTTTCCAGATCAAATTAAACTTTTTCCAAGTCAAATTCAACCATTTCCATTTCAAATTAAACCTTTTCCAATTCAAATTCAACCGTTTTCATTTCAAATTAATGTTTTAATTTTTTTTTTTAAATAATGGCCATCCCCTCAACCCCTCCAATATGAAAGTCTATTATTATGCTCTCCTAAGTAGAATTTTCACTTACGGATATTGATTTATTGTACCTATTCGGATTTATTGGGGACTAGTATTATGCTGTCCTGTACCTAGTTTTGAAAATAACCTCCGTTTTAAGATTACGTGACTGCGTTTCGAATTATTTAAGTTTTTTTGACTTATTCGATATAAGGGTGTATTTTTATGTATCCCGATCAGTAAATTTTGAAAACGACATCCATTTTCTGTTTACGCCACTGTGTTTTGACTTATTTAAGTTTTTAGAATTTATCCAATATAAAGGTCTACTTTTATGTTTCTTGAGCCGTAGATTTTGAAAACGACCTCCATTTTAAGATTAGGCCACCGCGTTTCGATTTCTTTGAGTTTTTCCGATTTTTTTCATATGAGGATGTATTCTTATGTTTCTGGAGCCGCAGATTTTGAAAAAGACCTCCATTTTAAGATTAGGCCACCGCAATTCGATTTTTTTAAGGGTTTCATATTTTTATCATAAAAGAGTGTATTCTTATGTTTCCGGAGTCGTAAGTTTTGAAAATGACCTCCATTTTAAGATTACGCCACTGCGTTTCGGCTTATTCAAGTTTTTCGAATTTATCCAATTTAAAGGTCTACTTTTATGATACCGGAGCCTTAGTTTTTAAAACGACTTACATTTTAAGATTAGGCCACTGTGTTTCGGTTGTTTTAAGTGTTTTTGATTTTTCCTTTGAATAAAAAACAAAATACGAAGGATTAATTTATTTTTCAATAAATAAATAAAAATATCTAATCAAAATAAATAAAATATGTATTGTCACATTTTTAATTTAATTTTAGTTATCTTTTTTAATGTTGTGGTCTCCTGTCACAAAATTATAAGATTTCGAACAATTAGCTGAAAAATCTGAATACGGAAGGTTAAATTTATTACCATTTGCTTTTCGGTTTTTTAGATTTATTATGTGAATAATTTAACTTTAGCTTCATAATATTTATTTATTTATTCATACCCGAAAACATATTGATGAAACTTTGTATTGAAAAACTCCAAAATGAAGCCTAATTAATCGAGATGCAGCTGCTTAATCATAAAATGGAGTTTAAATATTAGATAAATTTAAATATTAAAGATTAGAAAAATTTCAATACGTCTCGGATAACATATAAGTAGATCCTTATACCGAAAAAGTAAAAAAAAAAACTTTTATAATCCAAAACACAGTGGCATAAACTTGAAATTCGGTCATTTACAAAATGGGGGAAATCTACTGCTCCAGAAATATAAAATTAGACCTTTATACTTGTTAAATTCTAAAAACTTAAATAAGTTGAAACGCAGTGGCGTAATCATAAAATAGAGGTCATTTTCAGAATCTACGGTTCCGAAAACATAAAAGTAGACCTTTAAATTGGATAAATTCGAAAAACTTAAATAAGTCAAAATGCAATGGCGTAATCATGAAATGGAGGTCATTTTCAAAATCTACGGCTCAAGAAACATAAAAGTAGACCTTAATATTGGATAAATTCGAAAAACTTAAATAAGTCAAAACGCAGCGGCGTAATCATAAAATGGAGGTCATTTTCAAAATCTGCAACTCCGGAAACATAAAAATACACCCTTACATCGAATAAATCAAAAAAACTTAAATAAGTCGAAACGCAGTGGCGTTATCTTAAAATGGGGGCCATTTTCAAAATCTACAGCTCCGAAAACATAAAAATACACCCTCATATGAAAAATATCCGAAAAACTCAACTAAGTCGAAACGCGGTGGCCTAATCTTAAAATGGAGGTCGTTTTCAAAATCTACGGCTCCGGAAACATAAAAGTAGACCTTTATATTGGATAAATTCTAAAAACTTAAATAAATCAAAACACAGTTGCGTAAACATAAAATGGATGTCATTTTCAAAATTTACTGATCGGGAATCATAAAAATACACCCTTATATCGAATAAGTCAAAAAAACTTAAATAACTCGAAACGCAGTCACGTAATCTTAAAAAGGAGGTTATTTTCAAAAACTACTCATACGATAACAGACCCACACATCGAAAAATTAAAGATAATTAAATAAATAAAAAAAGGTTGAATTTGAAATGGAAAAGGTTGAATTTGAAATGGAAAAGGTTGAATTTGACTTGGAAAAAGTTTAATTTGATTTGGAAAAGTTTGAATTTGACTTGGAAAAGGTTGAAATTGACTTGGAAATGCTATATTACACTCATTTGATTTCTCCAGCATTTGCCTTACTGAGAATATATGATCAGTGGTAGACCGACCTGATCTAATACCACATTGGTATTCTCCTACTACTATCTCAGCCCATTTTACTAACCTCCTGCTGATCACTATAGAGAGAACTTTGTAAACTGTTTCAAGTAGGAATATTCTATGATAATTTCTACATTCTGTTCGACTCTCCTTTTTGTATATTGGACATACTAGTGCTTCAGACCATTCTTCTGGCATCTTTTCAGAAGTCCAAAAACCAAAAATAATCTGGTACACATCCTCCCAGATGTCCTTTCCTCCATTCTTAAGCATTTCCGCATGTAACCATATACTCTTGGAACCTTGTTATTTCTAAGGACTAAGATTACTTCAATGATACCCTCTATTTCATTGAGGTGGAATCTCTTCTTCCAGTTCCTCCTCTAAATGGTTCCTTGAATCTATCAAGTGGTAGGCCTTTAATTCCACACCTAATATTTCCTCAAAGTATCTGCTCAAATTTACATATATGTCGATCCTTTGATGATTGACACATTAATTAGAATTTTCAATTTTCCAAGTGAAACATTATTAACACAGATAAAAAAAAAGGCTGAAAGGCTAATATATATCAGTATCAGATCAAGTTTCTACACAGGTTGTTTCCTGTAAGATTGGTAGGCAAATTCATTAGAAAAAGAAGAATTTTCCAAGTAACACTTTACTAACTCGGATGAAGTAAGACCGAAAAGCCAATATATCAGTATAAATGGAATATTGGTATTGGCTAAAATTTATACATAGATCTAACCCTAGATGATTGATTGAACTTTTATTCAGTAATTAAGAGAATTTTCAAGCGACACTATATGGAACTTGACGAATAGAAAGAAAAGGTCCATATGCTGATAGATTTATCACTATTTTATCAGATAAAATTTGTGTATTGGATTTGGCCTAGAAAGTTTATTTAACAATAAGTAAGATATTCCAAGTGAAATGATATCAAACTTGATGGAAAAGGAAAAAAGGCTGATATGGCCAAAATATCTGCATATCAGCCCTTTAAATATTGGTATTGGCAAAATTTTGATTCCAGTTGATCCCTAATTTGGTCCAGATATTTTATAAAATAATTTATTTAAAAAATATGTATATTAAAAGATAAATAAATTAATTATACTTACCCAAAGGTTGAGATCGAAGAAATGAACAAACCCATTCATTTTGCAATTGCCTTAAAGACTCAAGATTATGTAATGGAAATACTTGCAATATTAACCCTTCAGATTCACATTTTGGAACTGGAACAAATTAAGGTATTTATACATTTCAACCTATCCATACAAAGTCAAATAAAAATATTCACAATTCATAATACAGTGCAAGCTCATTAATCTGAACTAACTGATGCAGGGAGGAGGGAGATATGTTTGGGAAAACTACTTGTAATAAAAGATTAAAATTCAATAAGTACATAGAATTTTATTAATTGGAACATACTCACTGGAAAACGTTACATTTTTATATTTAAAAATCAATTTTTTGTTTTTTAAAGGACTCATTTATTTTATTTTGTTTTGACTTTTGGATGTCCCTGTTAACACATATTCGTCCAGTAATTTTTTACACCGCCATTCACAAAATGCTGGTACCACTTTATTTCTGTTTGGTAAAAAATATAATTTAATTTATTTAGATTAATTAATTAAAAGAACAAAAATCAATGAAATTTACAAAAGTAATTTGCAGGCATTGGTGACCTTGAATTTTACGCCTTAAAGCTCTAACAAACAAACAGGAATCAAGTATTTTCTGTAATATATAAATGACAAAATTCATCAACTGGTTATTGGTGATTTTTTGCGAAATGACGAATTTCCATCATGAGGAAGAATACGTGTTAACTGCTTATTCTTCTTTCTGTACCTCATTAAATACAATGATTGAAGCCATAGGCACAAACTTGGCTCCCCACAACCCTCCACAATAAAAATAAAGAGGAGGCAAGAATATCATTTTGCCCCCTAATATTTCAAAAAATAAAATCAAAATCAATAACAATGAATCTAAATGAATGCATAGGCGGATCTATGGGGAGGGGGGGAGAAGAGGTGCCTTTCAGATTGAAGTTCATGTCTGTGAGTTTATCTCACAGCCTCATTTATAATAAATCTCACAACCTTTAAATAAAAGTAAAAATATGTAATATATTCAATCGCTTTGTTAACATCTTTTCAAATTTACCCATATGAAAAAAAACTATGTTAATTATCACTCATAATTTTTAAACATAATTTAAATTCCTGAGATCTTTTGGGGAGGAGGAGGAGGAGAGAGGGTCCATTGCCCCTCCCCCACAATTTGAATGGAAAGTCTGAGCCTATAGTTGAAGCTGGAAGCAGCATCTTCCTGCTGTTATTCTATTTTTATAAAAGATGAGGGGTTCTCAAAAAATAACCAAAGGAAAATTGCTTGTGCATGCATGTATGTGAGGTAAGAAAATTCTGAGAAATTCGATTAAGCAGGTAGGCATCGTTGGTTAGAAATTAGTTTCTGAAGAAAATTTGTTTTTGGTTAATTCAAATTACTAGAGTGTTTGAACTATCAAAGCTCTTATCACTGAGATTGTAAATACCTAATGAAGCAGTCTACAAATCGACATTTCTCCCTATCCTTTCGTGCTCCTCTGAATCGTGGACCCTCACCTCGAAACACAAAAGTCGAATTCAAGCCATGGAGATGCGATACCTTCGGAAGGTCTAGGGAAAGGTCAGAAGAGATAGGGTTCGGAACGCCACTGTATGGACTAGCCTTGAGTTCAAACCAGCTGAAACCATCCTAGAGGAGCACAAGCTAAGATGGCTTGGACATCTTCTTAGAATGGGTCAAGAGAGAAAAGCCAGGAAGATATACGAGACCCGTGTGGAGGGAAGGAGACCTAGAGGAAGACCATGCATATCTTGGGAAGACAGTGTACAAGAGGTGTTTAGGAAGCAAGGTAGGGATTGGAGTAAGAGAAGAGAGTTGGCTCAAGAAAGGGAAACCTGGTCCAAGCTCTACAAGACATAGCCCACACTGCGCGGTGGTATTGGGATCAGGAATACGATGATGATGATGATGAAAAAACTTATATTTAAAAATAATAGTGTCAATTAATATATTTATTGCAACAAAATATTAAATTCTCATTGTGAAAGAAATACAACCATACAATAAATTAAAAGAAAAATTAAATTTTTTTTTAATAAATAAAAACACCAATAATTCGGCAGAGCGAGAGGCCCGTGATCACTAGAGTCCTGCCTCTTCATCCACGAGTAGGGGGAAAGGCTTGGCTCAAAATTCTGAGTGAATAAATTTTGTAAATATTGTATAAAAGTATGGCTGTATTTAAGTTCTTATTTTGATTAGTTTAGTTTCTTTTTGTTTATATACATTTACTTTTAGTATTATTATTTTGCTGTTTAATTTATTTCTATTTATTGTAGATAGACTATGAGCAATTCTACCACTATTACTAATGTCCTTGATTGTGATAGAATGTAATATTTACTCAATAAAATATAAATAAATAAAAACACAATTGTAACATTATCAAAATCATAACTTACTAATTGCTTGACCATCAATCAGTTTTAGTCCTGCAATATTATCACAAGAATCCGCTCTCAATGTGTGAAGCAAATGCAAAACTAAATACTGTCTTTCTTGTGAAGTGAAAAAATGTTCTATAGAATCAATCCCTGTAAATGATTGAGCATCTGATAAAACAAATTCCTTCATACCACCTCCATGTTCAGATTTCAATGATTTCGGAAGATGAATTTCTTCAGCAGCCTTAAGTAAGCTAAAATTTAATAATAATGTAAAGAGTTGCATAGGTTTTAATAATAATAATAATAATAATAAGGCCTAACAAACTTGGAGATTAGGTACTAATAACAAGGGTTAAAATTCTTGTGTAAACACATATTGTTTACTGATCAAGATTTAAGCAGCAATTAAACCATTTTTCAAGTCTAGGCTCATTCAGAATTAATTTAAACCAATTTCAATTTACATAATTCACTTAATTTAAATATTTCACATATTTTTATGTATTTTCATCTATATTTCTTATATCATATTTTAATTTTTTTAGTGATCTTTGTCTGCATTTTATCCATAACATCACATAACTCATCAGTTTTGGTACTAGTTATATTAAAACAAATCAAGACTCAATGTCCAAGGAAAAGGAAAACTCTATATTTATTATAATAACCAATATATTTTACAACAAACAAAAATCAGAAACAAGTGATTTTAAATTAATTATGTGACACATGATATATCAAAAGCAATATATACACAGAGATCTTTCTAACTGCCAAACTGCAATAAATGGAATGCCACACTCAGACCACTATGGTGCTGGTTCGATTTTCGCAGCCAGAGTTACCATCTACATCTAGAGATTCCCAGGGAGGTAAATGACCCCTTTACCTTACTATAGCTCCTGGTCCTCCAATCTGGGGGTTAGGCATAAGGCTAATAACCATATCCCATAAAAAACACCCTATTATGCAACCAAACAGAAGCTTCAGAAAATCAGACTATTTAAACACAAGCTGACTTTGAATCATGGACTATCCATTATCATCAAGTATCATGGAACAAAAATGCTTACCGTAAAAATGCTAGTCAACAAATTAAATAGATTAATAGTTAGTCTAGCAGGAAGGAAATCAATCATAAACTTCACCTCAATTAACGTAATGAATAATGTATTATGAGTTGAAGGTCATTGGTTTAATACCATGACTATTTACTTAAAGACAAAATAAAGGTACTGGAAAAGCCTGGGTATAGCATTATGGCAATGCCAATGTGTCCAAGGAGCAGTATGCTGAACAAGAATAAATTAAAATGTTGCCTTTGTGGCATTATATTTATTTATTTATCAGCTCGACCCACACCAGAAGCTGCTCTTGGCCTACTCAACTGCTTTTTACCAGTAATTGCAGCAATAGCAAGTCTCCTGGACAGCGAATCTTTCGGCCTTTCCTTGGGTCTTTCGGGCTGCCTGACTTCATCCGAGGTTCCATAATATAATTGCCTGGCTGCTCTACCATCATCCATCCTGATTACATGTTCCAGCCATTAGACACACTAAATTCACACAGAATGAGAAGCTATGAGATCATTGTAGATCTATTTGTTCCTTCTCAAGTGGTACGAACCATTTTCCCTGATAGGCCCCATGATTTGCCTTAACACTTTTCTCTCAATCCTATCATTCTTTTCCACCAGAATCGTGTATAGGGTCCAGGTTGCACAGATAGGTCAACACTGATCATATGATTGTTTTACACAGTGTCATTTTGGTACCCCAACATAGCAGTTAACTACGGAGGAAACTTCTTAGGACAAAATATGCTTTGCTAGATCCTGTTGTGGCCAACAGTAAAAAATATATATTGTATAAAAAATTTTACAGGGTGTTTCAGGGTTAAGTGGCCAAGCTGCAAAAATGAACTAAGGATCTCAAAACAAGAAAAAAATTTCCTCTAAAGGTATTCCACAAATGCTTTGTCTAAGAGATATTCCCACCTAAAGATTTTTGTTGTTATGAACTATTTACGTTATATGAAATAAATAAAACCTATTTCTTTCTTCTAACTACTTTATTAATTAAATGTAAACATTAACATTCATATTAAATGTTGCTCAAAGTGATTTCCTTGAGCATTGAGATATGCTCGGCATCTTTCTTCAACAGCAGCAGTGGCAGAACGGCATTGGATATGTGTTATTGTTTCACAAGATTCAATTATCCTCATTATTTTTATCTCTTTATACACTAAGAATACATTACTAGGATGTTTATTGATTACAATAAATTATTATTTTCAATGTAATATGAATAGACGTATTTATTTATTCAGTTATTTCTATCAACATCCAGATGTATCATTTTGACTGTGAGCCACTGTATATATATATATATATATTTTAATGTCAACATTACATAGTTTTTTTGAATATTGGCGCAAAGGTGGTAACATCACGAACTACTGACAGGAAGTACAGAGAGTGCGGGAAGCAAGCCTCATATAACGGCAGAAGGTGACCAGCCAGCCAGTGAAGAGAGGTTAAGAAAAGAGATCCTATCCTGGCTCCAGTGGGTAAAATCCAGTAATAATTTTACCATTTTAGAAGATCTTGTTTGGCAGGGAGAATAGTTATTGGAATTGCAAGAGAGAAGATTTCCCAGAGAGCTTGAGTTGAGTGGAACAATAGTGTTACCATTTTGGGATATGTGTTTAGCAGAACATAAGAAAATTTGTGAAGAAAAATGAGTTCAGTGTCACAAACGAAGAAGCATATAATATATAAAAAGGTTAGCTTGCCATCCATATTTGACTTTATTTTAAAATCAATCAATGTTTAATTTTAGTAGAAATAGTGTAATTAATAATAGTTTGTCTGAGTTGATCTGAATGTAAGTAATCCTGAGATAAATAAATATATTAATAGTTTTATAATTTTGTTAAATATTTAATAACCTCTTATTTATTTAGGAAGTATCCCAATGGTATAAAGTGATCTTTTGAGGTTATATTATTATTATTTGTAAAATAAAAGAGGGATATTACAGTATATCCTGTACTGTATATATATATATATATATATATATATATATATATATATATATATATATCGGTACAGAAATTCAGAAAAAAAAAATAAGGATGTACAATGCCGTGATTAAGGCAGTTATGCTGTACGGTTGTGAAACTTGGGCTATAACCGGCACACCAGAAGCCAGGATTGAGAGATTCAAAAGAAAAGTTCTACGTAGGATAACAGGACCTATATGAGACCAGAACCTTGACACAAGGAGGAGAAGGAACAATAAAGAACTGCTTAAAGAAACGGGTCAGTCAATATCTCATGACATGAAGGCAAGGAGGTTAAGATGGGCAGGGCATGTAGCTCGTAGCAATCCATCAGGATGCCATTACACAACAATGAATGCCAGAGTAGTAGGCAAGAGACCATGTGGGAGGCCAAAAACCAGATGGATAGATAGGATAAACAAAGATATGTCTGAGCTTCATGCTGCAAACTGGAAAGCAGTAGCCCAAGATAGGCATAGGTGGAGAAGGCTGGTTCAGGCGGCCAAAGATATATAAGGTCTGTAGAGCCAACTGAAAAAAAAAATACATATATATATAAAGGGAGGCCCTGCAATCAGAAGGAAATATTTAAAAGGTTACAGGTAGACTTCAAGATCTACAAAAAATTTCATAAAAACAATTGCCCAATTTCCAGCTGAAAAGAAGGAAATTTAAGATTTGTGTTTTTTAAAGCGCCACTTTTTTTGTTGAATAGGAAGTGATAAAAAAATTTAAAAAATTGGTTTAAGTAATTAAACATTGCTTCATAGTAAATTAGACAAAATTTACTTTATCTGAAAGTAGAGTTTGTCATAGTAAAACTATTGAAAGAGGATTATTTAGTGCATAAGCCACAGCTAAATTCCATTTAAAAAAGTCAAATTATATGTGTTTTCAATATTTCAATATCTCTATTTTTTATATGTGATTCCTACAACTGTACTACATTTACCCTACTTTTAGAAAAATTTCCTAATTTATTAAGATTCCAGATTTCAGTCATAGCAATCGACGTGTATTTATAAGTAACAAAATTAATGTTTCTAGGCCTAATATTTTTGTCTTTATAAAAATAATTGAAGTGATCAATAGGTTTCTTTATTTTAAACATAAATTTTAGTGAGAAACATCAAGTTTGTCACTGATAAATACTTATCATTTCCTATGACGTAGGCCTGGGGGCAAACACAATTTCTTAACCACTTTTAGTGAAAAATTTTTGAAAATCATTATTTTTAAATTTTTTTATTTTTATAAATAAAATGTGTTTTTATGCAATTATGTTTATTAAAATACATCCCATATCACGGAAAATCAACAAAACAAAAGCTTTGTAACAGTTAATTGTAATCATTTTAGCAAAAAAGAGGGTACTTTTAGGTGACAGAATAGAACATGGACATGGATCTCCTTTCCAAATCCTACATCAAGTTACTCCTAATCTTCTCTTGGGTTTAGGAATTCTTTAAAATACTCCTCCCTCCTACTTTGTACCTCCTCTTCCAAAAAGAGCATCTCTCCATCACAATGACTTATCATCGGATAATTATTAATAAAGCCTAATTTCATCCTACTTACTTTACTGAAAAATTTCTTGGGCTCATTGTTTTTGCTGTACTCTTCCATCTTACATAAGTTTATCTGTAATGCATATCTTTTCTTTTGCCTCATCACTTTTTTTGCATTAGATCTGGCATCTTGGTACTACCTTCTATTTGTCTGATATGCCTATTTAGAAATTTGGTTTCCGATCAACTACACATTTTTTTCCTTTTTGTTTCCAACCCTCTTACAATGTTGGTCAGCTGAATCAGATATAACTTGTCTTAGAAGATTCTATTCCTTATTCACATCTCTTCCTCCGACTGCAGCTGGGATGTTTCTTAAACCTCTTTCAATGTCTGGCATGAAAGCATATCTTCTTTCTCCTTCCTTTAACTTTTCTCTTTCCCAGATGATCTTCTACTGTAGAAAATATCGAAATCCCTTCTACTTTGCTTCCCAAAGCTAGTCCTCAAATGCGGTTCCTGAATCGCAGTTTTATATAACTTAAGTTGTAGCAGGTGAGTTTTCAGTCCATTGATGCTTAAGGTCTATAAAGCGATCTTACATTCTATGTTCCAATCTTATCAGCCATAATACAAGTACTAGGTCATTTACAAAAATCCATCCAAAATAGGAGACTTTACTGTTGAGAATAAGGAACTTATTGTTCTTTTTATAAAGGGTGGGTAATTAGCCCACCCTTTAACCCTCCTCTTTTATCTGGACATTATTATCATAATTTACTTTTATACTGTATTTATTAACTTTCTTTTATTTCATTTTTAATATTTATCCGTTATTACATTATTAATATGTACAATACATTCCGCCTCTATCAGTATAATACATTATACTAATAAAGGTATAATATTATACTTTATCAGTACGTATAATATATTATATTTTTACCATATTAAAATTCACTTCTGTATCATCTATTACTCTTTGCATTACAACTTATTATGTTTTTTAATTTATTCAGTTCATATTCATTTCATTTCCTACTTGTCATTTTTCAACATCCAAGTCTCTACCTTGTATCTGGTATCTTGTACTAATTTAACTATTTTTCTTGTACCTTGTACTAATTTAATATAAGTTTTTTTGTATTGACTGCAGTCTGACAAACTACTTCGATTAGACCTATTAGTATGAGCTATTTGCAGGCAGCCCCTGATGCCACTCTCGTGACGTAGCTTTTATTATTATAACCTAATCAAGAATAAAAATTGACAATCAAGCAAATATCCAATTATGACTCTGGAAAGTACAAAATTTAAGATTTCCTTGAATTATTTAAAATTAACCAATCATCCTATAGCCTCTGAGGATGATTACAGATTAAATCAGTTATTTTTCATGATACAACTGGCTGTGAGAAATACAGAAATGGCTGGTAGAAAAACAGGAATGACATGCACTGTTGCCATGAAGACTGCCTTAATACTCCATTACCATGTCATAATGACAGATGAAATAGAAACCAAAATGTTTAAAATTTCCTATTGAAGCTGGATTATTCAAAATAATTACAGACAATATTATTGGAGTATACTTATTTTCAATTTTTCTATTATTTTACACAATAAATTATAATACGAAATATCATTTCTGAAAGTTATTGTTCATTCTTTCATTTACCTGACCACAACATTAATTAATGCTCGTTTAAGATTAGTAGAAATAGAGTAAGTGCCGCTGAGCCACTCTGGTGTTGAAGTAACTTTTGCTAATTTTCTTCACTTTTGAAACCTATTATCGGGTAAGCTATAGGCTCCAGAGATAGAATGAAAATAAATTTTTTTGAAATAGTTTAACTGTCTTTCTTTTTGGTAAAATAAAGCTAATTGAATAGAGTTCAGATAGATACATTAGAAATTGATGATAAGATGTAAGAAAAAAATAAGTAACTTTATTTAGCTCATACATCAGCACATTTATTATATTCATTAGTAAACCTCCACGAATTAATACTCTAAAGTTTTAAAACTTTCAGAATTACATAAAAAGAAAATCTTTTTTTTTTTTTTTTTTAAACTTTTATTATGATATTTACAACTGTATTAGTATGAATACATCTAGTAAATTTGTACAGAGAAATATTATTACATGAAACTCGCTTGTTGAGAAACTACCCACTGGTAGCACTCTAATAATTTGTCTACATGAGAAGATCACGAGGCCATCTTCTTGTCAGACGCCTCGGAGGGTTATCAGGAATCGAAGAGGAAGCAAGGTTAGAAACAAGAGGATTCGGATGGTTATGAAGTTTATTATGGAAGGATAGGTATCTAGATTTGGCCAAATCGGAAACATATGGAACATTGAGTTCTTTATGGATTATTTTATTAGTGACAAAGTAAGTAGCATTGAGGATTTTACGAAGGATTTTGGATTGTAAGGATTGGATGCGAGAGGAATTCGATGGTTTAGTGGAGCCCCATAGCTCCACTCCGAAAAAGAAAATCTAAATTGACCTAAATGTAATGTCTCCTAGAATAATCTTTGTTATATATCTATTCATTTAATTTTGCCTATAATCATTCCATCCGTAAGTACTTCTTTGTTTTCATACTTGGTACATGTACAGATATATTAGATATCATCAAATTAATAGAATTTAAAATCCTGTTGTAATCTGGTGAATTACATCTGAAATTAATGGATTGGATTAGTAAAGGTTGATTTTCAAGCTCTTTTTCGTCAATACAAACTTCATCACCTATAAAAAAATGTAACAGTTAATAGAATATACAAAAAGTAAATAATACTTACACAGAAAATGGTGCTGTAATATAAAATCCATAACTATCTGATGAAGCATGATGCCTGACATGTACTGTCAATCCTGGGGTTCTAGCTCTTAGTCTTGCAAGTAGCCACATCAAATTTGTATCCAAAGCTCCATTTGGAAACATTATGATAACATCACAGTCCTAAAAAAAAAAATAATAGTAACACACGCAAGCACACACACAGACTTATACCACAGAGGGAGTCTAAATCCCATACGCGGCGTCCCCAGGTGGTGGATAGTAAAATGCTTACTAGAAATAGAGAGCAAGAAGAAAATAAAATACCTCTCATGGGTCAAGCAGACTATGGGAAGGAATCTCGAACAATATACCAAACATGGAGAATCAGGTAAAACTGACAAACCTTATGGTGCAGGGGATCATATCCCCAGTAACGGCGTCTAGGAATGCAGGTTCTCAGGTGTCGTTATCCAGCGATCACAGTGCTGCAGTAGTGGATCACTTGACCACTGTAGTAATTAATACTTCAAGTGAAGAAAGGAGAAGGGAATAGTTAGAAGACAAAATTGCTAAACTTCATGGATTCATGACAAACAATCCCAATAATAAGATGAAAGCAGAAGTTATTTCAATCCAAATGCTTTACGATCAATTTTCGAGAATAGACGACAACCCAGAACGGTTATTACAATGGCAAATGGTAAAGACTAAGAAGAAAAGGAAAAAGAAGGCTAAAAAGTAGAAAATAACGAACAAGGCCTGCTCACCCAGATGCTTTGATGGTCACAGCAAAGGAGGGCTTGACGTACTCGGATATCCTGCGCACAATAAAAAGCTATCCTGATCTCCAAGACATAGGCGATAACATGCAACAAACACGAAAGTGTACCACGAGTAGTCTCCTTCTGGTGTTGGACAGAAAAGCACTATAGAAAATATGGAACAAATTCGTACTGGGATAGCAAAAAAAATGGCTGACAGATAGAGATTCTGTTGCTTTTGGATTGAAAGAACTCGATGAATTGATCGTGGCTGAAGAAATGAACAAAGCGCTTTTAAAATCAAATTGAAGGTCAGAAAAACATTGAAACTTCTACTGTAAAGTCACTTCGCAAGGCTTATGGTGGCACACAGACAGCAGTAGTCGTATTTACTATGGAACTAGCAAGAAAAGCTATAGAAAAGGGGAACATCCGAGTTGGTAGGATAAACAGCTGGGTTTTTTTCAATGTTGCTTTCTATTTCTTATAAATCATATTTCAGGTTTCCTTTAAACAGAGTGTCCCATAAGTAGAGGGAAATTTATATACGAGTGATGGCAGACCTCAAGAACTACAAAAAAATTCATAGAAACAATAGGACAATTTTCAGCAGAAAATTAGGAAATCTAAGTTTTGTGTTTTTCTAAGTACGTCAAGTTTTTTTGTTGAATAGGACGGGATAACTTAAGACATTTTTAATTTAAGTAATTGACAATTGTTTCACTAGAAACAAGACAAAATTTACTTCAATCCAAAGTAGGTTTTGTTAAAATCATTTAAAGCAGACTTATGAGTAGCTAAACTAAGCTAAGTTCTCTTTTTAAAAAAATCATAACTTAAACGTGTTTTTTTTTAACCGTCATTTAGCTATAATGCACAGTGGTGCCCTGAAGGGAGTTTCATGGCGAAAGTTGTGCCATCAAAATTTTTGTGGGAAGCATAATTTGACGGGGTTTTAAATTTTTGAGGGGGCTACATTTCAATAGAGTTATGAATTTTCGAAATGAAAAGTTTCAAACCAGGGGACAAGAGGAAAGCAAAGAACAGAACACCGAAAGTGTAATAGTATATGGGCTGTAATTTTTTAAATTCTACTTCAGCTTGCACTTTCTCCCCTTTAAGGCTTACGGGGTTTTCCCGGGCCAGGGGATGTGGGAGGGGATTTAAAAGACTTCCCTGGTAAGGGACGCAAACTTGTGACTATTTTTTATCAATCACTCACATATCAATCACCATGGTAGAAATCCTTACCACTCAACTTCACTCTATCCTCGACCGACATGCTCCTCTTATCACAAAAACCATCCGATATCCTCCAGCTCCTTGGCTTACTCCTGCTTTGAGGGAGTGTATGAGAGAAAGAGATGCTGCAAGGCGACGGTTTAAACGAACTCGACTTCCTGATGATTTTCTCTCCTACAAACAGCTTCGAAATAGCACTCAATCAGCAGTACGCCGTGCTAAATCCCGTTACTACCATCATTCCCTATCCAACTCTCCCAATACCAAGGCTACGTGGGCTATTCTTAGAAAACTGACCATTGGTAATGCACCCCAGTCTCAGTCCAATTCCGTTTCTGCTGATAACCTCAACGCTCACTTTGTCTCCTGTCCTCTTGCAACCACATCTCCCACGTCCAGTCTGGCTCCTATGTTCTCTTCCTTTAATCCTGATCACTTCTTTCTTTCCCATATTACACCAGATGATCTCCTTAAATCCATTCAGAAGTCCCATACCAATGATTACGGTCCCGACAACATCCCAGTCAGACTGATTAAAGCCGCATTGCCATCCATTCTTCCGATCCTTTATCATATATACAATCATTCTCTTCAAAATGCTACCTTCCCTACATCCTGGAAAACCGCCCTAGTACGCCCATTGAAGAAGACTTCAAACCCATGAGCTCCTAATGATTTCCGACCGATTTCCCTCCTTTCAAACCTCTCAAAACCATTAGAGCGGTTAGTCCAATCCCAGCTATCCCATTTTTTAGAGGACAATAATCTCCTAAATCCCTACCAGTCCGGTTTCAGGCCTGGTTATTCTACTCAGTCCGCCCTAATCAAAATTTCCCAAGACCTTCACACAGCCATAGATCAGCAGAATCTAACCATCCTTATTCTCCTAGACTTCTCCAAAGCTTTTGATTCAGTAGACCACAACATCCTCCTAACCAAACTTAAAAATATCTCTTTTTCTTCTAGTTCCCTTAATTGTTTCCAATCCTTCCTTACCGGTCGCTCCCAGTACGTTGTGATTCCTAATAAACCACCATCAGAATCTCTACCTCTGACCAGAGGCGTCCCACAAGGCTCTTCCTTATCCCCCACCCTTTTCTCCATCTATATAAATGACCTCCCATCCTCTATCCTGCACTGTCAATACCACCTGTATGCCGACGACATTCAAATTTACCTCTCCTTTAATCCGACAGATATCTCAGATGCCACTTTAAAACTTCAGGAAGACATTGACAGAATAAGTGCTTGGGCAAACCTCAATAGGCTCACTCTGAACGCCGAGAAGGCAAAAGCCATCTTGATCGGATCCCCTTCACTCCTCAAATCCTCCCCGGTATCTCCCAATCTCTTCCTGAACTACTCACCTATCTTATTCCACGCCACCGTTAAAAACCTAGGTGTTACTTTCGATCAATTCCTATCCTGGAAACCTCACATCTCCCAAATTTCCCGTCGCACTATCTCCACCCTAAAACAGTTCAATCGTCTACGATATCTCCTTCCATATAAGTCCCGTCAACTCCTAGTTTCCTCCCTTGTTTTCTCCCACTTCGACTATGGCTGTATGGTGTACGGTGGACTCTTGGGAGATTCCGAGGCCAAACTTAAACGCCTAATGAATTGCGCACTACGATTTGTTTTCGGAATCTCAAGGGATACGCATATTACCCAGTATTACACTGAGTTGAGCTGGCTCTACCCATCCTATCGCCGTCAGTACTTCCTAGCCACCTTTCTGTACCAAATCATTAGAATCCATCGACCCTCCTATATTTTTCACAGCTTACAATTCAAATATTCCATCCATTCCCGTCCCACCAGATCTCGTACTTCCGACCTCTATCCTCCTCCTCACCGAACTGCTGCGTTTGACAAATCCTTTGCAATACAAGCCGCCTCCCTCTGGAATTCCATCCCAGCTGATATTCGACACGCTCAATCAGTTTCCTCGTTTAAACCTCTCCTCTTTAAGCACCTACTCCTTTCTCAATCCGAATGATTGTGAAATATATCTAAGAGAAATATCTGAGCACCACCAGAGACTACCTCAGTTTATTAAGGTTATTTTAGTTTCTCATATATATGTACATTTTACTTGTCCTTTTATTTCTCTTTTCTGTATTTTTATCGTAAGTCAACTTTCATTGTAAATATACAATTTAATTGTAACCACACAGATATATAATCTGTATTCATATTTTGTTCTTAAGGGACAACAGTCCCAAAATAATAAAACATTTTTTCATTTCATTTCATTTCATTCATCAAGTTGCCGGGTAACGGCGGTGTTGTGCACACATGTTAGCCCGTTCGGCCACCCTGCCCACAACTTTAGCTTGCACTGTTTCTAAGAAGAGGATAGCAATAAAATATCTTGGGATGGAGGGTTGGGACTTAAAACTTTTCGAATGAGGAAGTTTTTCTAAATGCGGGGTATCTGTAGTATAGTTAAATGATGAGTTAAAGCGAACTAAGCTTAGTTTAGCCACTTGAAAGTCCACTTTAAATGGTTTTAACAAACTCTACTTTTGTTTGAAGTAAATTTTGTCAAGGACCAGGACAAGAAAAAAGTAAGGACCACAGGGAAAGAACACCTGTAATGGAAAAAGAAGTTTATATAACGTTAGACATCTTATAAATACAATTTTCTTTATTTATCATTCCTATTCAACGAAAAACATGACATACTTAAAAAAACACAAAACTTGGATTTCCTACGTTTCTGTTGAAAATTAGTCCATTGATTAAATGAACTTTTTTGTAGCTTTCTTTCTTTCCTTTCTTGAGGTCTGCTATCACTTCTCTAAAAAGTTACCCTCTACTCTATGGGACACCATGTATACTTATACATTAAATAATATAAGAATATAAATACTTATACGTACACATATTTATGTTACAAAATATAAGTGTTTACATTCATGAGATAAACTAATCATTCCGCGACTAAGCCATCTCCTCTCGTCCAAGACTGGTTCCGTTCTTTCCTTGAAAAACTAATACAGTTCCCTATTTGTGAGTATTCACAGCGATTATTTCAATCACTTAAGCTTATTCAACCTCATTCTTGCCTTGTGCAGGGTGCTGTGATGCCTCAAATGTCTGCATACATTATTACAATGTTGAATGAGAACAATGAAAAAAAAAACTTCTTTTCTTTTGCTAGAAGAAGTTTTAATAATTATAGGAAGAAGTTACAACTGTTTTATTAATAAATTAATTTACACACATTGAACACAAAAAGAGATAGGCTACTGAGGTTGATACGGGTAATAAAGAAGATAACCAAGCATGTACTTGAAATCAACAAAAATGGCCTTGATTTTCTCAACATTCATTATTGGTCAATGCCCATACGTTGATGCTATTAATGACAAACTGCAATTTTTAGTACTTAAACAGCATTTCAGTTGGATAGAAGAATAAAAAACTTAATTTAACAGCACATAAAAGGTATGTGACTAAATTCAGAAAGAAAATTGATAAAGAATGAGAAAGAGTTGATAAAAGCAAGGACCACAGAAAAAGAACACTTGTAAGGGAAAAAGAAGTTTATATAACGTTAGACATCTTATAAATAGCATAAATAACAAGCCTATAATTCTATCCAAATAATCGTCATCATGCTTGGTAGTGGAGCTAAAATTAGATTTATCAGAAGATAAATACAGAATATCAAAACCTAGGATCCCGCAATCAAAGTAAAGGTTTAAGTAAGTTGTAATTAGATTCCGAGCAAATTTAATACAAATAAAATGTGAAAAAATAATAAGAGGATATTTTTAATACTCATATTTTATAAACTGTGGAAAATATACAATCATTAATAATAAATTATTTTAAAAAAATAATAAAATAGTTCAGCTTACATGAGTTGGAATAGTTTGGATCCATAGTCTTCTAGGGGTCATCAAATGGCCAGTACAAGGAATTTTTCTTCTTAAAACTTTAGAAACTGAAAAGTTAAAAAAAAAATATATGAATTAATATTTAACTATAAAAATTATTAACTGCATAGTGCCTTTACATTAGACATCAGAAAATGATACAACAATGTAAAAATATATAATATTTATAAATAATACCCATTCATTTTATATGCACCGAAAACAAAATCCGCACTTTGGTTTTTATTAAAAAATTAATTGGATATGGATGTCTAAACAAATTCTTTCTTAAAATAATGATTACGTGCAAGAATGGCATATCCTCAAACAAAAAAAACAAAACAAGGACTTTCTCAAGGATCAATGCTAAGGCCGATCCTCTTCTTCCTGATGATAAATGGCCTCATTCAATATCTGGAAACATTAAGCCTGGGAATCAATGTTTTGCTTTTAGCAAGCTTCTAGCAATAATATTTTAGTCCTGAATACATTTATTAATACGGCCTTAAAGAATCCCAGGACATGGTCAGAAAATATGGAGGAAATAGTAAAGTCAATGTAGAGGAGAAAAAAAATACTAACCATTCTGCAAAGCCTACTTATTGTCTAGTTACCCAATGCTATACATCGTAAATCAGCTTCATGTTTATTTCAACTACCTTCTGAAACTGTAATCTTTCTTCTTCTTCTTTCGCTTATCCTTTTTGTACCTGTCAGCATAGGGAAGTGCACAGCTACGAATATCACTCCACTCTGTTCCTTGCTAGATTCCTGGTCTGACAGAGATCTTTGCATATTCCTTTGCAAAGTCTATCGATGTATTCGAGATATGATATTCTTGAGTATCCTCGAGGTCTTCTGCTATCCGGAACGTAGTCCATCGTCTATAATGGGTCCCAATGTTTCTCCATTCTAATGACATGATCGAACCATTTCAATCGGCGTGATTGCAATGAGGCGATCTCAGGTTTTTGCTGTATCCTTTCGTTGCGAATTCCGTCTTTCCGGCTGTTCTTCGCAGAAATTTTATTTCAGCAGCAGTGACTCTGCTCTCCTGCCTGTCTGTCAGTATCCAACTTTCAGCCCCGTACAAAAGTATTGGCACACACACACACAGATTTTAATACATGGGGCTTGATGTCCTTAGCTACCTCTTGCTTTCCTATAATAGTGTTGCAAATCCGGTAGTACACTGCATTCCACTTTTACAGATCAGTCAATGACTCCTCCTAGGTAGGTATAGTCCGTGACCACTTCCAATTTTTCTCCATTGCAGTGTCGATGTATATCTTCAATCTGCCTTCCAATTAGTAATAACTTATTTTTTCTGGTATTAAATTCCATTCGTTTTCGGTATAGTTCCATTCACCATTCACACAATGCCTGCTGTAATTTTTCAACCGAATCAGCTACAATAACTTTTATCCCAGTCCCAAGATTTTTGGAGAACATTTCGTAGGAAAAATGAGGACCTTTTAACGCTTTAATTTTCCTCCAGAATTGCTTAATGTTCTCCGCATGATCTTGGTTCAGTTTCTTCCCGAATCCCTTCCATGAAATATATTTAGCTCTTCTCACAGCTTCCATTGTCCTGTTTCTTGCCACCACTAGTGTTGCCCAAACGCAAGACTAAGACGAGACCGGAGACCGAGGCGGTCTTGGTCTTGGTCATGCGCACTCGGTTCTGGTCTTGGTCTTGGTCTTGCGCACTCGGTCTTGGTCTTGGTCTTGCGCAAGAGTCACGCAAAAGTCTTACAGTTACCTAGCAGCTTATTACTATTTATTTAATATTGTACTTTAAATCTTAGAAAAATGCTAAAAAATTAGTACATTTAGATGTTTTATTGACATAAACATAGTATAGTCCAACTAAATCAATATAGGTGTATATTGGTGTATCAATGTATAATTAAGTAGTCTTTAATATCATTTAGTTCTTCACCCTATTGATGTCGCCTAATTGCCCAATGTTCAAAATATCTTTCTCTAAAGTAAGTTTAATTTGATTAATTTTAAATAATTAACTATCTTTTATTGCTAGGAGTAATGAATAAAGGCACCACCGGATCAAGGCATATCATATTGTTTAAAATACTATTTCATTGTACTTGTTTAAAAACAGAAGTGAAACATAAAAATATTTCATGGATATGTTTATAACCTTAAATAAATTTACTGTAATTTAATAACTCTAGATTGAATATTATATTTAAATAATTAGGTATCTGTCGAGTGTTTATTCCTAAAAATCGTCATGTGAACTTTTAGAAAATTAAATTATTGAATGATTTGATTAATTTTCCCTTTGTGATATCACAACAATATCCACTTACAAATAGTGTGACAACTTTTGACTTATGATAGACAATGCAAATCTCATGATTCCATTTTAGTAAAGTTTGGGTACTAGTCTGATAGCCGGTCGGGATGAAACCTCCCTTGTTATCTAATGTTACATCACATAACCTCCCTTCTTATCTCGTGTAAGCTGTGAGTTATTCTATTGTTTATTTTTGGTCAATGGATGTTTGGCGGAGTTTGCCAAGAAACAGACGAGTGTTTTATCGTCAAAATACACGACAGAAAGGCAACAACTTTATTACAAGATATTAAAAACAATATACAAAAGGGAAGCACCATTTATTCTGACTGTTGGAAAGGGTACAAGACCCAACAACTGAATGAAGCCAACTATAATAATTTCCATGAGAATCATTGGTATAATTTTGTTGATCCATCAAGTGGGGTCCAAGACACAATATATGTACAATTGTTTAATGTTTAAATATTTTTTTATTATTCCATTTATTTTTGTCTATTTCATATATGTGTTGTAACATTAAAGTGTTTTCTTACAATTGTGGGAATTATTACATTTCTTTTTGTCTATTTCAATTTCAAATCAAACTGTTTTGTTATTATTACATTAGTTTTCGTCTATTTAATATATATGTTGTAAAATAAAAGTATTTTCTTATTATTACATTTGTTTTTGTTTACAATTTCAATAATATGAATATAATACAATAAATATGATTACGAAGATAGGAATTATCAGTATTCAGGCTATAAACATTGTCAGATAGCAGTCGTTCCCGACCAGCTATCAGACAAGTACCAAATTTTGCAATGGAAAATAACAGTTTAATAACTAATAGTCGTACAATACTCAACGGATCGTACAATTCATAATCAACCGTTCATATAATAAATAAGATTTTGGTTGCTCGGTTAAAAATGCACTTCAAAAATGTTATAATAGTCCAACATTATCAGAAAATAATTTCTATTCAAAGCAGTGTGGTAAGCGAAAGTTGTGTGTTGCGCGCACCAGATTTATAAATTTAATTTTCATTTAATGAAGTAGAATATTTGATTTTTTTTTTAAGTTCAGTCTAACCTGTTCGGGCTTATTAAGAGATCTTAACTTCTGAGTTTCATTGAGTTTTAAATTACTAAAATATCTAGTTTGTATATTGAAGTATCAGTTTCCAAAATTTCGTCTAATTCGGACGATTGACATCGAAGTTACTTCAAATCTTCACTTTGACGAGAAGGCAGCCATTGGAGGACCGGACAGAGCTGATGCCGTGGATAGGACTTCTATTGACAAGAACTCTGATGGTAAACAATTGCTAATACCAACTGCTGATTGGCAAAGCTACAGGATTACGACGACCCTCTGGTAAACAGTTTGAATTCTGGTATAGTAAGTAAACATATTTTCATCCTCTGTTGTGACGGCCGGATTATTAGTATATCGTAACACTGATAGAATATTTAATTATACAATAGTAAAATGAAATAAAACACTATTAAACACTGTTGTATGACGCTTTATAATATTTTTGTTTTCTATTTGTACGGATCGGTGCTACCTTCGTTAATAATCTTTGTTAATTGTTTATTTGTTTTAAAATTATACTTTTATGCCGACTTAGAATTGATTAAATTTATTTAAAGCATTGTTTTAATCTGTATATATTTTTTAGTCTATTGTGCTCAGCTTAGTAAATTTTACTTATAACCTACTTATAATTTTACTTTTTACTTATAACCTTGACATTTGTAGGGTTCATCTTGACAAATACATTGTGCGAACAAGTCTTATTTATTATTATTAATAATTAAACTCAGAATTATTAATACAATTATGTTTTGACTATTGTTTATATAGTTTTATCTTATATGTTTATATATTTTTATCTCTTTGTGTTTCTTAAAAAATGTATTTTGATCCATTGAGTGATCGAGAATTATTATTATTTTTACATTTTGACTCAACTCTATTATTAATTTTTATTTATTTATTTTTCTAATCTTCGAGTTTTCAAAGTTATCATTGTCAAGTCAGAATCTGCCTAGTAGCTTCGAATTTTCATTATTGTCACGTATTTTTACATTTTGACTCATACATAATATTTATCTTTATCTCCTTGAGTTTTTTCTGCTCCTTTTTTTTTTTTTTTTTTTTTTTTTTTATTTTTTTTTTATTTTTTTTTTTAATATTTAATTTATTTATTTATTATTAATTTATTTTTCATTCAGTAGCAAGTGTCATGGCCGCAAGTGCAGTTGAAGATTCACGTCGCTCTGTATTTGTTACTATGTAATGTGGTTACTATTTAAAATTCTGGTGTAAGACTATATCAACAGTGACTATATAAACAGTGGTACATTTTATGTCACATATGTTCAGGTTAGTAACTATTGATTAACAATGAAGCAGTAATAAATTAGTGCTCGTTCGGCAAGCCCAAGTGGCCCGTAATCCCTTACGGGTTTACCTTATCTGTAATAAGTTACGGTCAAGACTCGGCTCTGTGTATACTAACATTCTTCGGCTTTGTTCACAGTTCGAATCCAAGACATTTAGGTTTTTTTTTTCTTTTTTTTTTTTTTCTCTTTATATTTTTAATATTTTTCAGGAGACTTTTATTTTATTTACTCATTAATTAATTCTGAAATGAATTATTTTATATTATATCTGTATATAGTTTGTAAATAGTTTAGTTCTTAAGAAGCTATCTTATAATTTTCATTTTAATATTTAGGTTTAAAAAACATT